TGATGAATGTCAATCATTCCTCACCTGTCTGGCTTTCTCAACAGCCTCTTCACTTTCCCATCCATAAGCATGTGTCCGTGAATGAGGATTTCCATAATAAGACACAGTGTATGGCATCATGGCATCAATAACTCTGGGATCCTGAACACATCAACACAATACAATAATCTAGCTCATAAAAGGTTTGTTCAAATAATTCTAAAATCCTACAATAATCCATATAACTTTCAAAAGACAATATACAGGAACTTTATATTGCATATTATTTTCAAGGAACAGCTGTTCTCTCATTACATGTACCGTTTTTACTCATTCATTTTTACTGAGGGAGGAAAAAACAGAGAAGACCCGGTAAAAACCCTCAAAGCAAGGGAGAGAACGAAAGAAACTCAAATCGCGTATGGCACCCTGAGAACAGGGTCCACAGAGGTGACAGGCCAGCATAAAAGATCAAGCAGATTCTGTACTCTTACTTGTCTTATTTCGACAAATAAGGATGCGCTAATGCTTATGCTAATTGATAATGCTTATGTTAATGATGCTAGTAAAAGAAACCAATCAATGTCATCATCTGTACTGCTGACATTTTGGGTGTAATCAGATTCCTTACAAGAGTTTCAAAAATAGTCCATAATATAATAAAAACAGTTGTTACCAGTGGTGTTGTAGCTTGTTGGTCAAGATAAAGGGGTCTTCTTGTATCATCTTGAGGCCTACCTGTAATAAGATGTTATTCTATCAATTAAAATTTTAATCTTTCTAAAAGAACATACTGCTTATTTGAAGTGTGTTATGTAATAATTAACCTCATGAACACCAAAATATAATAGCAGTACAAAATCGCCGTGAAAAACACGAAAACATTAGAAAATTTTATAAAATTCCGCAAATACACATTTATAATTTGAACTGAATTACTTAAATTCCACCATCGTTGAGCTAAAAACACATGTGTAGATGCAGAGTTTAAAAATATGCATTATAAGCTTATGTCATGGAACAAAATTGCGTATACGATTGCCCTTTGAAATAATTCATCATCCAACAMAATTGCTTAATTTTTGAAGTACAGAGAAATTCAAAGAAAAATTATCAAACGTTTCACGAGGAAGTACAGCAGTAAATTCATTTTGCTAGCAGCACGCGATCGCGCACAACGATGAAGACGTGAAYGAGGTGAGGTCGATAAAAAATATGCACTTACTTTTCGTTGAAGTTGCACTCTCACTGGAACTACTMACGGAAAATAGCCTTATTCCTCTTCTGGCAAGAGGTGAGAATGAAATTCGCAATAATCGTTGAGGAATCATGATTTTAGTTCTCCCTCAACGTAATCAACGTGAACGATGAAACAACATGGACGACCAATCGATAATGTATCGTAATATTTTGTTTGTYTCCGGAAATTTCCGTAAAGTTCTCGGGAAAAGCAAATTTTACTTATATTTTGGCTGTGAAACACATCTGAGAGCTACAAAACATTTAAAAAACATTTCATTCATATATAAAACATAAAGAAAAAATGTAACTAAAACTGATATAAAAGAGGGTTTGTAAAATGCTCGAAAATGCTCAAACTTTGTGCATCCTTTTCTGTTTTATGACCAAAAATTAATGTGCTAAATACATTAGAACATTAATGGAAAATAGCTAGTACTCAGTATCTGAAAAGATTGGAATCAGTTATATTTTTGGAAGTACAGAGTTTTTCTAGTGTGACGCGTGACATTGAAATCAGCATTGCGTTATGTGACTCATTAAAAAACCTGTAACTTACATATGTTGTTGCCCTACATTATAATAAATATTTTTCGGTATTGCTTCTCTATATTGCTAGGTAATTGTAAAGATATATCTTTATAAATACAAAGAAAACATCTGGGCTCCCWTCGTCGCTTACAATGCTTTTGACGCGAAGAGCAAGAAAAAAACTGGTTTGAAAATGTGCTAATTGGTTTCTGCTTGCATATAAAATATAGGAATAATTCACTTTTATCTAACTTTTCTGATATCAAACATGTATTTCCAAARGATATAAAAACTTGTATGATAATTTTTGCGGCAGTGCTCATGCAGTTTAGTCGGTCGAATAACCTGTACAAAATKTATTTGCATACATAACAAAGGGCAACTGACATTCAGTTAGTCACGCTCGGGATCACTTATTATTTGTCAGTATCTGGAAAAATAATAACCCAAAAACCTGGTAATTTTTTCATCGAGAAGGCATAAAATCTCTTGCTTTTTTTCCAGAATATTTCTTTATGTTCTAAAATTAAAAATTCAGCTTGAAAACGAATGTTGTTGTGTAAATAGCAAGCTGGATGACGCCATCGCGTTTATAAGCCGCAAAAACTTGCAAAACCGGTAAGGTAGTTCCTGCTCAAACAAGAAAGCGAGAGAAAAWWTTTTTTCCTGTRAGGCAGARACATTCGTTGGTGGTCGAAGGCGAAGAGAGATCTACTTGGAAGTTCTTAAGCCTAAAGTTTTAAAATATATGAGCCGTTTATTGCCGCGACCTTTGTTGAACTCGGAACGGTGCGCTCGAGGGATGACTTCCACTAGATATAAACTCCATTTCTTCGGCAGTGTTATACTATAGCTAGAGCTTACATGGCCAAGATGAAAGACATTCTCGTTCAAATGCCAGAAAARCAAAAAGACTCATTATGGTCGTGGGTAGTCTGTGTAAGCTCGTTCTGTGTTCAATTCGTAGCTTTTGGGTTCCATAACTCCTTTGGAACTTTCTTCGTTGCGTTACTCGACAAATATGGGAAAAGTGAATCCGCGACTGGTAAGAATCGTAAATACATGAATTTTGCTGACCAATGTTGTTTATAGAAATGATAAATCTAACCCTTCTGCAAGTATATTGAATATTTCTAAGGAGAATATRTAGTTTTTATSATAAAGCGCAGTAATTTGAGGACRGATAGTCAAACTGCGCCGGAAATTTCWRYCCGCACGCGATTTCTTGTTGTGTTGTGCTACCGAATCTCAAAAGTTAATCCTCRCAAAGCTGAAGGCGAAAAAAATATTGATGTGCGCTTTTACTTCTATTTTCTTCAGATATTAGARAACATTGTGTAGGAAAAAATGAAAAATTTCTTATTAAACCTTAACTTCAACCTTGGCTTCGCTACCTACTAGAAGCAATTTTGCCCATTTGGGAGTGAAAAAAAACTGGTTGAGCGAGATTCACATCTCGTTTTCTTYCAACCACTCCCGCTTCAAAGTTAAGGCCTCCACTCAACCATTATTCAGCTCCCCAACATTTTAGAGATTACAAAAAAAAAGAAAAAAGTCAATATTTTTGAAATCCTTGGTGTGTTTTTTAAGTACCAGAAGAGCAAGTGTTTTGTTTTGATCGGCATGTAAATTTTCTCATTAGCAAGCCTCAACGTATTTGATTGGTGGAGGTCCAAAGTCCGCACATTCTCACGTGAATGTCATTTGACGAATTGGGATACGACACCCATAACCGGTTACATAACTCGTCAATATGAATTGTTGTCTAGGAATCATTACTTTACCGAAAGAGCTAACAAGTATATGAAACAGTCGGTGCATGTCTGAATATAAGACATAGTTTTATTGTTTGTTAATCCTTTAAGCGTCATGTTGACAAAACTGTTAAAAYCTCAAGCAAAATATACCGACATCATATTGAGCCATGACCGCTAAACTAGCTTAGTCTCTGCATGACAAACAATGGATTTTATAGCTTTAGTTTTAAAATGACCTTGGGCAATTAATTTGAGTATGTAGCTGGTCTTAAGCCGCACTGCCCGTTTTCACGAATTCAATATCGAAAAAAATATTGAAAGTCTTGAAAGAAAAGAAGGAAAAATAAAATAAATAGCGCAAGGAATAGATAGACTAGATTATTCGTACTGAGTTTTGCGGGCAATTAATTTCGCGAAATAGGAACAGGCATATATATTTTGCGTGCATAAATTTTCGCGCTTTTACCAAAAAAGTCGCATGGTAATTTTTGCGTTAACCTTTTTTAAGGGGGGGAGGGGGTAGATAAGAATGATTTTTGTTTACTAAATGTATTATAAAAATGGGATAGGAATAAAATGAGAATTTTTGTTAACCAAAATGACAATTGAATGCAGCTCTGGAAATATTGTATACTGATATATTCTTTATTTGCTTGCAGCATGGGTTGGTGCAGTGGCAATTGGTCTCACATTCATTCTTGGTCCATTTGCTACATACCTGTGCAGTCACATGGGYTGCCGTCTCACTGCATGTACTGGAAGTTTATTAGTGTTAATCTCTGCTGTTTCAACGTCTGTTATCACTGAAATGAAATGGATGTACCTGACATTTAGCCTACTGAATGGTCTAGGTTCAACCATGTTATATTTCTCTTCCCTTGTTGTCCTTATTGAGTATTTTCATAAACATCTTTCTTTAGCAAATGGTATAGTTTTAAGTGGATCAGGAATTGGTACACTGTGTATAACTTTGATGTCRCAGAACCTTATTTCTAACTATGGACTAGGAGTTACTTACAGAGTACTTGGAGGGCTTTTTACAATCTGTTTCTTTGCTGGTCTCACCTTTACTCCTATCCGTAAATATAACGAAGACTTTATAACTGAAAAGAAGAAAGTTGACAMAGAGGAAGTAGTTCCTTTAACTGCACGGTGGAAAAGATGCTTCAAACTTGGTGATCAGTGGAAGAATAAAGGATTTATCGTATGGACCATAGCAACTGCAGTGGTGTTGTTCGCATACTACATTCCAAGCATGTATATTGTAAGTGGTTGATGGAACAAGACTCAATAGCTTGGGAGGGGGTGAGAGGGGAAATGGTTAGGGGGGAGGGGGTGCTTCAAGAGAGATTGGGGATAATCAGGCAAGCTGTTTGAGCTTTATAATTGTCAYCAATTATTAGTTTAATAATAGTTAATATCTTATATTACCTATCTATTACACTATCCTACATGTATATACTTATTTCAAAAAAGGTTGTTGGATAAAATGGTGAATGGCAATTGTCAAACAGCGATTGCATGACCGAAAGGACCCATGAGTTCTGCTAATGGATGGGAAATAATATCTGATTTTTACTGTAAGATATTCTATGGTCATCATCGTCTCCATTTAGTCTCCATTTTCACGCAAGTAAACTCAAAAATTTAATTTTTTGTATGTCAAACAGCGTAACCATAGTCCCTTTCGGTCGTGCATCCTCCCTTCGACAATCGCCGCTCGCTGTTCTCCCCGACAATGTTTTTTGAAATAAGTGTATCCCATATTGAAATCTTTGGTATAAAGGGAGGGTTTTTTGTAACATTGTACCTGTGTGCTAGTTTTCTCTATGTTGATCATGTTCATTTCATCCAATAACGTGATTCTCCAACCCTTTATACTTGATCAAACTAGTGCACAGAGATCATAAGTGGCTTAGTTTTAAGCCTGAAAATTCACTCTGATTGGCATCATGATGAATCATGGGACAGTTTGGCRGAGACATTATTCTTCCCTTGAGGGATCAATGTATTTCTGAGATGTCAAAGGAGTTTAAGCTTCTTATTCACTCAGTAAGTATTCGTCCTTCRTGAGAATGGTGATGCCAGGCAATAGCTTCCGCTCTGCTCATGTAAACCACCCATCAGGTTTCCTGGATACCAGACACTAAGCAAAGCACTATGACATCATTACCAACGTACAAGGTATGCCGTAATGAAGAAATGATGGCTGCATTCAACATTGACAAAAGCACTGTCCACATCGAACAAGATTGTGAAGACATAGTTAGATGCAAGATAGCTTCCCTGTTTCTTTCTGACTTTTTTTTTTCATTTTTATAAAACTTGTAATGYTGCTTGTTATCTAAACAAAACTGATTATAAATTGAAGTTTCTAGTTGACTTTTGTCGGCTTTTGTAGAAAAATCAACTTTCGTGCCGAGCTTGATAAATAATAATGATGACATATTGGTTTGTCGCTCCTATGGAAGAGTCCTGATGAACTTGACGTAGATCATGTGGTTTTGAAGGGGAAATGGCCATCAGTGCTGGAAAAATAAATCAGAAGCYGCATCAAGCACAAAGAGCGTTTGTTCAGTGGTGATTGAAGAAGAAGGACTTCAGAGAAACCATATACTTTGGCAAAACATCATTTCATGTAGAAAGACATTTCCAGTTGCAACTATAATCTTCAAAACCATGTACTTTGCAAAACGCTTTATAATGTTCTAATATAAGACTTAATTTTRCACAAAATAAAATAAATGTTGTACTACTATTCGATCCTTTGCTAACGTCTTTGATATGAATAAAAGTCCGGATTTTAATAAGTCGAACAAAGTGTCTTTTGAACGCGGATAGCTTGTCTCGGCATCAACATCACCTTCCATATTGAGATTTCTTAGTCCTGATTTCCTAAAAATAAAACTTAACTGCATCACTGACCAGTATGTACTCCACAGGTTAGCATAGCTAAAGGCGTTGGTGTCCCAACTTCCAAAGGAGGGCTGTTGGTAGGGTTCCTGGCCATMGCCCACACTATTGGTAAAATTGTCATTGGTAAAATAGCAGATCTCCCTGGTGTGAATCGTCTGACAGTCCTTCAGCTTGGATTACTCGTATCTGCAGTGATTAACTGTCTGCTACCGCTGGCCAAGACCTTTGAGATGCTTGCGGCCTACTCTGTGGTCCAAGGTAAGTTCGAATACCAAGAGAACATCATTTACCTCTCTGCCGTAGACAATTCCCGCATGGGCCAAGAGAAGCAGCAGTGCAAACAACAATTAGCAACAGTATTGATTTATTTTGTCAATCCAAATCCTTTTTTTCTCAGTATTCATTTTCTCTCCCCTTTTTAGGATTTTGTGATGGAAGTTTTGGTGTTCTGGTTGGCCTGGTGACTCACGATGTTGTTGGAAAAAGACTCATGGCTGATGCCATTGGGTGCTTGTACCTTGTGGTYGCTTTGCCGATGACATTAGGACCTCCAGTTGCAGGTGAGACTTATTCCGTTTTTAACGATGGAATCAGTGCATTTTTTCATTACTAATTCACAAAAGTCGAATGGTACAAACCAATAAAGAACATTATTGTATCTCCAGAGTTTGAATTCATGCAGTTTTGTACATCAAAACCAGGGGCGAATCAAGGATTTTCCTCAGGGAGGGGTGCGGGGCTTTCAGAAGGGGGTGCATCCCACAAAAATCATTACCATGAAGATACAAATAAGGAAGGATACAGATCTCAGGAGGAGGTGTGCACCCCCTGCACCCACCAGCTGGATCCGCCCCTTAAAATCTCTCAGTGAACTTGATGACAATGGTGTTACTKTCGTTGCCATTGTTCATGATGGTGAAAAGTAGGAAAACTTGATCAGAAGGTGGTAATGGTGTTATTGGTATAGTGATAACGATAGCTGCCCACTAACTGTTTTTTGAGAAACGCTGCTGTGGTTTTTGATGGTAAAAAGTAGGAAAAATAGAGTGCGTCTTGTACTTGATCAGAACGTTGTAATACCGAACAACTGACAGCTGTCCATTTAGCTTTTTTGAGAACCGCAAAGAGAAATGTAATAACATTTTCTATGATTATCTCAACAGGAATGTTTTACGACCACATGGGAAACTACCATGCTGTATTCTTYCTATCAAGTGCTCTCGTTTGCACAGGGATTTGTTTAATGTTCGCTGTCCCTTGGCTCGTTCCAGCATCTCTACCAGAAAAGGAACTTTTGGTGATGGACGACTGCAACGAGTCTTTCCACGACAGCGAAGGACATTTCGACATGTCRTACGTCGACGAACAGAAAGTAGCTGATTTGTTTGGCAGAAAAAAGGCGCGTAATTTACTACTCGAGAGAGCGTCACTTCGAAACAGTATCGCATCGACAAGGGCAAGTAGTTTTGTTCTGTTCTCTATCGTTTCTGAGGACCAGCAACGAGATATTTCGGCTTACACAAGTCGACAAGAACTATCTTTATTAAGCGGAGCAAACACTCCTATTAGAGGTACCCCAAGTACACGAAGAAGACATTTCGACTTAGATTCACGTACGAGTATGTATTCGCTACGACAAAGCTCCGTGAGCGTGGCTCATAGTGAGCAGCACGCTCAAGACACTGTTGAACAAGAACACGTTACAATTCCTTTTGAAAGTGCTTTGGAAACTGTAGAAGAAGCTGCTGAGTTTGAACGCAAGATTTCTTGCGAAGAAACAAGACTGCAGCAACCTGTTATTGCGAAACCGACAGCGATTGAAGTTATCAACGAAGAAACAGAAGTCAGGAATGATGAATTCATCGCGACAGAACCTTTTACTGGAGAAAGTGATGAAGAAGCCAGGCAGAGAACTTCTTGGAACTCTGAAAGTAACAATTCATTGAAAAGTAGCGGGACGCAGCTATCAGAGGGAACGGTCGACAGCGGTTTTGGAGATTCATCCTGGATGGGCTCCTCAGAGGTTGACAGTCACTACTCTGTTGAAAACCTCATCGATARCGAGAAGACTTCCTCCGAAGTCATCCCTCGGTCCTATAGTTGGAATAACGTAWCCWCTTCTACTCATAACCAACTTATTCCAGCACGTACCTCACAGGAATACATCGATTATGTCATTGAACGKTTTTCATCTAAGGCAAGCGTGAACCGCAGTACTAGTGAGCTAGACTGGGACTATTCAGACTCCAAAGCTGAATATCTTGGTGAATTGCTTCCAAATGAGACAAGTCTTCAATGCTTTCCATCAGAAGAATTTATAGAGGACTTGAACAGCTTAGAAACTGAGATAGCACTGGAACTAAACAACTTAGACGACGTTGAACCTGAAGGTACAGGAGTTGCAAACAAGGAGAAGATGTCTTCTCTACACCTTGACTTTGCAGAAGACRCATACAGCGTGGAAGTCGAAAGAGCCCTTGAATTGGCAGAAGAGATCGAGGGGTCGCTGAAATGTAACTATGGTGGTAGATATTTTGATTTAAAGGAGGATTTTCGAGAAACGGTTGTATAAGGGATTTAATAAGGTAGTAAAAAAKGATTAGTGAAGAGTAGTAGGTATATAAAGCGATACAGATGCGTTRTTCATTATCGGAAACCAGGGACTTTTCGTCGAAAATAACATTTTTGTTTCGGTTACACGCAGGCTGTTCGGAGTGTGCGAGGAACTAGCGCAAGTAGACTGTCCTGCAGCTAAAACGTTGCGTCAACACCCCCAGCCCTCAGAAAAAAGTCTCCAGTCCGATGTACGTTAACATATGGTCAGTAAAGAAATATTGAAATCTCAAATAGATACCTACAAATATTAATATACATAGCAAATACGTCTAGTATTAAAAATTGATTAATTGAGGAAAGATTTCGAAGTAAAAAGAGATTTATATAAGAACACATAGCATATTCGTGGGGGGCGAAATTTTCAGTAAAAATACGAAAAGTTTATCATGTCGTCAAGACCAGAATATCATTCTTAATATTGAAAATGATCTTAGATAAAAAACTTTAAACATTATAACACTATAAAAAGCAGTTAAGAGTAGATCGCGTTAGAGGAAGTGAAATGTTTCCTAAATATTTAACTATAGTAGTAGCAAAGGTATACTTTGTGCATCATTAATAAAATATATTTTATTTGTGAAACACTGAATTTTTTCCTTGGATATTGATAAGGGCGTGTAGTTTAACTAAATTCTCTATAAGATTTTTATTAGGGCATATTTGCACTTGGCTGTCTATTACAACTACCACAATCGATACCACGAGAATGCTTTGCACACATTCTTTAGTCATTTTAATCTCAAAAGGGAATTGAATGACCAGAATCATTCGGAGATCATAGATCTGGAGATCTTGATGCTGTATAGCTATAGCCAAAGAAACTAAAAAGAGATATAAAGCGTAATTTGAGCTTGGGTTTAGAGGATCGATCTGAATGTACCTTATACACAGAAAGAGGAGGATTAACTGAAATAATGGGAAATTATGCGGGATAATGAGAAACTCTGGATAGTCAGAATTATATATTAATAGTATTTTTTTCAGTTTATGAATCTTGTTTATTTAAACACCCAGTGAAATGTGGACTTTAGGAGTTAAATGTGAAGATATTAAAATAATGGGAATTGAAAGAAAGGGAGTTGAGTAGATAGTGGGCTACTACTATATATATCTTATTTTTGATGCATACAAACATAACGCTTAAGTCTAATTATTTTATTTATATTATGTTGAGTTAAGTTATTTAGAAGGAATAGTTAGTTTGTATTATTTTCTTGCGTGTCATTGTGGTTTTACTAAAATATTTAATACATTGCTTTATATTTATTGTAATAACAATGATACGCAAGGAAAACTAGACGAATTGCACACCGATTGTGTGTGTGTATAAGATGAATTATGGACTATCAGACCTTTTCAAATCACAATTTATGTAAAGTATATAGAAATGAGAAGAAAATAAACTCRCTTTATATTTTGTACAAATTTGAGGTTTTTCTTGGATGTTTGTTGGTTTGTTTGTTTAATCAGAATGCTTCTTGGGAAAAATGAATGCATAAGAACAAGAATTAAATGAAAGGAGAKCAATGGGAATTGCAATGGGAATGAATGTCATTAAAGGATAAATTGAGAATGAGCAAAAGAAAACAAAAATGATTTTTTAMAATCATGCTTTATCTTAAATATCAACAAAAAATTAGTAATAAAAGAAGAACGTGAACTGCTCCGATCGTTCTCTGCGCTACCCCTCCCCCTATCAAAATAGAATTCTATTGGATTTAAGGGGGTAGGGGTCAGGGGGTATAAAATTATGTAAAAATGAGTTGTGCTTTCATCTTTCAACCAATAAGAAGTCTCACTTCGAACACGCCTCCAGCAACACCCAGTCTATGCTCTACGATCCATGAACGATCAAGACGATCAAACTGTTAGTCGTTTTGTCTGAGAGCTTAGTCTGAAAAGGGTAAGAATTTTATACTTTACATTGTGATATATTGCATCTAACTATATGTTTTAACTGATATTAAGTTAACGATGTCCTTAAAGGTCCTTAAACTTTTTAACAGAATGCAAATTTGAAAGTTTGTCAGTATTATAATCAATCATGCAGGCAAAGCTCACTAACATATACGAATTTTACGTAACTCTCGAACTCTCTTAAAGAAAATCTTGTTTTCATCTCGAGATATTATCCATTTGCTATATATCTGTCGTCTCGGAAGTGTTGTTCCCTGAAAGTCCCATTTTAGTAGTATTTGAATTCAAACTTTGATTCAAGTGGATGACCGTAGGGGATGCAGACGCAATCACGCAAAGTTATTGTTCTTTTTGAGCTTGATCGAAAATGCAAACCAAAGCCATAGTATTAAYAAGACTTAATGGAAATCTCTCTATCGATGGCTTTCTTATTTTGACAATCGTCTATCTCAGAATCCCTATATAAGTCGAAACTACGCGACGCAATACAAGACCCTCAACATTAGAAGTTTGTATCCTTAGGACAAAGACATTTCATATATCTGCATAATTTTTCCGCATAGGGGCTTAAAGATTGAATATTCAATARCAATAAAAAACMACACATCTTATCCTTTTGTYAACCTTAAAAATACGACGCACTGTTCTCTCGGWCCCCTAGCTATTTGTATTCATTCTCGCCCAGACGTCTCGTCGACCAAGCACCAATAACACGTGTTTCAGTTTACTTCGAAACTTTTGCAATTATAACTATATTKACATTGTATTAGGTGTACCCCCTATTTATACTATACGGGAACGTTCCTCTAAACAGGGTAGGGTTTTTGGCCTTTGTGTCTATAATAGAGTATACAATTGACCTTCAATTGACTTAAAACATAGGGGAGTACTTTCTATGTTTTCTATGTCTTTATTTATCTCGTAGACTATAAAGTCAAAATGAAAAAACAATGAAACATTCAGGACATATTTTACGGGAACACTATACCTGGTTTAWAAGGTCGACCCTCCTCAGTCTTGGATAGGGTCTACATTTAACCAAATGCAAGTACATTACTATAAAATGTCCACGGGGACCGCAAACGTATTCATTTGAYATTCCATTCAAGTTCTTTCAAACATGATCCAATTTGAATAATAYACRAGTTACYATTACCAGGGAATTTTTCACGTGRTAGTACCACCACCATCCAAGCTGGCAGGAATTAGACCAACAAATGACGTGCGAGTGCCACGATAATGTACCACAATACACACTAGAGGAGGTGTCCGACCACTGCCATCCAGACTCGTGTTGGATCGTGTATGTGGATAAAGTTTATGACATTACGAAGTTTATCGACGAGGTTAGTAACGAGCTAAATTCATAAAGTTACCCTTATTTACTTACATCRCTGATATAGAAGATTAGAGGGGGAGATATCAAGAAAAACGGCAAATTACGACTTTAATTAAGAACTAAAACCACATCACAAGGCAATGAAAATGTTTCTTACTTATTATTTCTTTCAAAAAGTCCATAKCCACTAATTCTGTTAGGYAAATGCTTAGCTTGGGTTGCCTGTGGGTAGATGAATATTCTTCGKTTGCAGGTTACGTCACAGGGGACATCATGGAGAAACTTTAACAAAGGGGATTTCTCATTAGTATCTATTGTTCATTCCTTCAACATGGCCGCCRGTCTTTTTTTTACCATAACTTGTAGAATTCTCGCGCGCTGATTGGTCGAGGGCCGTTGTCAATCCTAGGACAGACGGATGAAATGACGAATCGCTCGCGCACGGTGCCAGCGCGCGCTAGAAACGGTTTTGTTTTTAAATTTTTACTTTGTTTTCAGCTTTTTTATGGTAAAAAACAATTCGCAGGCGGTTTTCCATTGTCTGTACTCTTATTGACAATGAAATTGACGTCAAAAATGCTCAAAAACTTTGCAGTGAAACCACTCGCTTACGCTCGTGGTTCCACTTGAGTTTTGAGCATTTTGACGTCAATTTCATTGTCAATAAGAGWACAGACAATGGAAAACCGCCTGCGAATTGTTAAATCTTTTGAATCTCATTGGAATGGGCGAAAATGATCAATTATAACTGGTTTATTTTTCCCCGCATAGCATCCTGGAGGGTTCGAGATTTTGCTGGAGCATGCAGGCACGGATGCTACTTCTGTCTTCAAAGGGACTGGACACACCAAGGAAGCAAGAGACATGTTGTCCCTGTATTTCATTGGTAATCTTGTGGAGGTAAGTCAATGGAACCAAATTCAAAACGTCTGTTTACATTCAATCAAAGAAATCGTGAWGTGGAGAAGTAGATCTACTGGGAATCGCTCTGATGAGATGATCGTTGTTAGGGACTGCACAATATTTATCAGGAGAGAGAGGGGGGTGGTTGAGAATCCAGAGGGGGGACAAAATATAATCATTTATGTGCTGAAGAGGGGGGCAACGTCTGAAATTAACTAGAACTTTAATTGGAAACTGAAAAAACAACGGTGTCATTCGAAAACTTCTCAAGAAAAGCATGCCACGATTTGCAAGAACTCTCTTTATTAACGAATAATAAATAAATAAATTCACGGGGTGAATTTATTTATATATTTCTCCTGATAAGTATTGCGCAGTCCCTTGGAAGATGGATTGGTATGGTGGAACCTATCTTATGTCAAGGATGTCAAGACGTTGTCATAGTGACCTCTTTTCTTTGTTTCCAGGAAGAAAGAATTTACAAAAACAAATTTCAAAAAGGTAACTCAGTCAATTCTCAGTATATTCCTCGTATGACACCAAAAAGATCTCACGATAAACCAGTAAGCATTGCTCCAGTTGTCAATTCTTGACAGCTCAAAATGCGCGTTTTTATAGCAAAAATTTCTATCACATTAGTCTAATGTTCAAAATTCACAAGAGTAAACATATACACGATTATATACAACAACATGCAGAAATTATGATCTTTTTTGCTGATATTTCAAGTATAAATTATATAAGAAATTATGGAATATCATCACTTTTGAAGTTGCCTAGTACTAGAAGTTTCTGAAAAAAATATTGGCGATGACATCCCATAATTTTTGATATAGTTTATATATTATACTTGAAATATGAGTCAAAAAGATCATACTTTCTGCATATTCGCTGCATGTATTCTCTATCAGTTGTATCTAACAACGTACGTAAGCTTTTTTTTTTCCTCTCGATTCCAGGAAAGAAATGCCGAAGCTGTCTGAGAAAAAAGAAAGACGACGAGAAGAAACAATCGATTTCAGAGACTGTGAACACTATAGTCAACTCAAAAACKATCAATTCATGACAAAAACGTTTCCACACCAAGCTCCGGCATTATCAGGCTTAGAGCATCGATATAGGGCACAATCAACACATTGGATGGGTTATTAAAGGGTTATTTCTTGGGTWAATATCCGTTCTCATGCACAAGGAGAGCCATGAGAAAGGGATGCAAAACTTAAGATCGTTTATATATTTATATTTATAGTTTGAATTTAGAAAATATCAAATGAATTAATGAATTAAAATTGTCAAATATAATGCACACTGACAAATCATATAGCAATTTATCTTCTGCAGGAAAACATTTGACAATAAATACCGAAACATAAAACGCACATAGTATTGTTAAATGTTTTTAACTGTGTAGTCAAATTGTGTACTAGAACGTCGTTCTCTGAATGTATTCATCCGAAATTTGAACTCATTAATTGCCACATCTATACCCTTGGCGCCCTAAGAGCATAATACTCAATTTRCAGACTATAATTAGTAAATGTGACTATGGCCTGGGGATCTTCTGTTAAATAATTCTAGCTCWTTGTTCAATTTCTAGATGATGCATTGTAAGGATTAATCTGATAAATGTATCAACCTCTTGAAGGTCCCCATACATACTGTCGACGGACCAGTCACTAGCTAGTAATTACTTGAATGCCAAGAAAAACAAATGTCTCTTGGCACTTCACATGCTGCGTTATAAGTCAGACGTAAGTCYCTGTATTTAAAAATTTATGATAAATGTTTTGTCAAAAAATATATTTGCGGCGTTAGGTGACGTAGTGGCACTTCCAAAGTTCGCATTGAAACYTRTACGAAAGAACGTTTAATCAAACGTTTAATCACAASTGATTAACTAGGATTTAATCGAAATAAATGTTTTGTGACGTCACTTTATTAAAAACCATGATTACAAAAATCAACGATCCTGAAGACAAGATGAAAATCAATGAAACAAYAGATCAAAGTGATTGACCAATAATACAGCTTTTAATCAAAGACCAGCTGTGACTCAGAAGGATCACCCAATTTATTAAAACCCAAATCATTTATTTTTCATAGGATTATATTCTCAAATTGTCAGAAAACCTAGCACGCTAAATTGACGAGTGCCTCGGTTAACACATCACGCCGAATGAATGCGTAATATCTCGATGTCCACTTCAACTAAGATATTTATGTACTCCGATAAAAGAGAAGTATGAATTTTTCATGTGAAACTCAATGTTAAAGTTATTGATTCTCGAAGAGTTTAGACTAAGAGTTTAGAAGAGTGTCGAGAGAACGTCAAGCCGTTGTTGCCATCGCAACAAGGGTTAAATAACAGAGGGGTCGGTGCGTTCTTAGTGCACACAGTAAATTCAAATTGGCCWTTGGTGTAATGGAGGCTCGATGGAGCGTTAGAACTCACAAGGTTTACGYATTACATCTCTAGGGATATTTTCTACACGAACAAAGAGCAAACCACAGGCTGAGGATTTAACACCGAATTAAGGCGAGTGTTTTGGGAGAGAAATCAATTAGATTAACAATGGTCGCGTTCCCGTTGAATGAAAGCTAAATCAACAGCACGTCACAAGTGAGTTGCATTTAAATCCATCGCATTTCAATATCGATGGGCAGTTAATATCACCTCAWCCTYGTTGCATTTCAACTTTTAAACCTTTGAAGACCGTTCCGATTTGTTGCTGTATCGGTGCAGAGCGTGAAACGTTTTTAAAGGTGAGAACCACAACGGCAGAGTGAATTGATCAAACGTTCCACAAAATCGATGATCAAACGTTCCAAATTGAAACAATCGTATTTTGAATGTCAAAGATTAGACTTTTTAGCAATGATATTGGGGCTTTTGGCTTGTCAACGTAATAGTATTTCAAAGATTTGGTGAAGTTTTATGATAATCGTGTTACACGTATGTAGTATATACAAGACATTTGTAAAAATCGACATGACATTCGAGTATTAATATTCAACTACGAGGGATTAGTGCAAGCAGTATCAGGTGAAATATGTGAATTTACGTTCTTATATTTCCAATTTATTTTACTGTGGATTATTGGCATAACTAATAAGTATAACAGCAAACGTTGTTTTTATTGAACAACATTGTGTACAAATTCATAGTTTTTCATGCCAAACTGGCACTTCAACAGTTTACTCATCGTCGGCCATTATTGATCTACATCAAATATATTTAGTCGTTTTTTACGGCCTTTTAGTTCTCTGCATGAAAAAGTTAACTACTTTGTTGTTTTGAATGCCTAATAGCTTCAGAAAATTTGAAATTCAGTAGATATTGAAGGAAATAACAATTGACAAACAGATCGTGAAGACATGTCAAGTACAATTTGTCGCAATTTTGGCGATAGACACTTCTTGGCCAATATTTCATTTTTGTTGGCCCTGAGTAGATGGGGAGAGTGTTTTATCGATGAGTAACGAAGATATACCAGCAGTTCAATTAGATATGTTTTGTAAAAGGATTCCCCTCCTATTTCCTTTGACGTAAAGACATTTTCACTACCGCCATTTCAGCTCTTTATCACTAATGCCTCAGTTTAAAAAACAGGTTTTTTTTCAAATTCATAAAACAGACATATTCAAATGAGAATTTTCTTCGCTATAGACCTCTTGGACTCAGTAATTTCTAGATATTTGGACTTGGCGGTTGTCAAGGCAGAAGTGAATTACAAAAATATTCGCTGAGTACTCCAGGGCACTGATTAAGCTAGTCGCAAACAAATTAGTTTTTCTCTTAATATACATAATTTTACGACAGATTTTGTTTTCGAATATACTAGTAAAAAGATTGAAAGCATGTCAACAAATTCATTCGATAAAATCTCTGATGCTAGCAATTGTTGTTTTTAGGTATAAAAATACGCGAAAATATAGTACAAAGTTGTAAATATATTCATGAATGTATCTCATGGTTACTAGATCGAACTTTTGCTTTGCAACCAAACGGAAAGGATTATAGTATAAATGATATTATGAAGAGAGAAACAATTGTAAATTTTAGACAGTGAAATATGGAGAACTGACTCAATCAGTCAAATTCAATAATTATAATAAATTTAATAATGAGAAGTGAAATGAGAAATAAAAAGGTTGAGTTCGGCTTACGAAAAATGAGATTCTGGACGTTTCTCTTGTTTTGTTTTGTTTTCGTTTTTTTTTTTCGAGTTTCCGTGCTTCCCATCTCTGCTATTTTCAGTTTTCTCATTTCTTTTTCAAAACAAACCCTTTCAGTTTAAAATCAAATTTAATTTTACCAATAACAGCTTTTATCTGTCAATCAATCATTCCGAACAATCATACTTTGACTTAGTTCCGACTTTAATTGGCCTTCAAATGTTCCCATTCTTTACATTTTCCTTCATTTGTTCATTTTTCCGTTCTAAGTACCTAGCTTTACCACACTATCGGCAAACACAAGATAATTTCTAAGCTTATACCGGCTCTAAGTGCCTCCATCGAGGCAAATGCGTGTCATTACGATTCGTTAAAGCAGCTCTTAATTTCGTTAGTGACAGCGGAAGGGTAAGCACCACAAATCAAGCGTTTCCTAACAAATGAGCAATTCAGTCCATCCTTAGAGGTTCTTAAATGAAAATATCACTAACAAATTAAATCTTTCGGAGTTAAACTCGTTTAAATATGATTAACAGAACAACTGATGAGCATAAATGCTCACACAGTATGTCATCAAGTGCAAACGATAAAGAACCGAAAGAACATTTGATGCTATAAAGTTCCTATTTATAGTTTGTTGTTCAAAGCAGATGTTAGGGATAAAGGAGATATTTTCCTCCTCCAAAAGAGGAAAACTCGACCTAAAAACGACACTCGCTTTTAGTTGTTCCCAACGCACGTCTCAGGAAGGCTTTCAGACATCTTTCTTTCGATCATTTAATTCATTTTCTTCTGCAGTTTTTTATATGGAACTTTCTATTATATCTGTAAGTATATTTTTCTTTATAAGTCTATCTTTTTAATAATTCCCGCTTCATACTAAAGTTTTTTTAAGGTATACTAAGAAAACGCGATGTTCCTAAGCAAATAATAAAGCAAAAACTGTAATTTGTGTTTTTTTTTTTACAATGTGAAGCTCTTTTGTTTTCCTATTTCGTGTAAGTTTACTTAAATGTCCAAGTGCCAAAAACATGTTTGCTTAAAGACGAGATAGAGAACAAAGCATCCTTAATTGCTTTGACTTTATATGAACGTCATAAGTGTCTCAAAACTGAACAAAACAGATTTTCATCAACAAGATTATCTTCAATTTGACTGTTGTTACCATATGCAACCACTTCGACGAGGTCATGAAATTCGCCGGAAAGCAAAATTTAACAAGAAAGATCTCACAATCCTACTTAATTTAGGATAACAATTGCGTCAAATTTAGATCTCTTTTCATATGGTGATTATAATGTTTGTTTGTCAATTAAAGTGTCCCACAGGCAAGCAACCATCATTTATAGACATTGATATGCGCGCGCATCGAATATCACCCTAGCTTTGTGCCACTCGGCTTTTGCGCCACTTCTGACGTTCTGAGAGCTAATGAACCTGGCCATCTGTCGATGCTTTGACTAACAAAACCTTGTCAATATATCACAGCAATTTACTTAACAGACTTAATTCTTTACGACAGGTCGATATGGCCGATAATGGCGCACCCCATGTTACCCGTGCGACATTCTTCCGTAATGGCGATCCAAACTTCAAAGGCAAGATGATGGTTGTTAACCCGAGATATTATCGTAACTTCGAGTCTTTTCTAGACACAGTTACATCGAGCACTCGATCTACAAACGCCGTCACAAGGATATGCACTCCGCATGGAAGGAACTTTGTCCACAGCGTAGAGAACTTCCAAAATGGCGGGAATTATGTGGTTCTAGGGAGAGAACGTTTTAAGAGGTTGAACTACGGAGAAGAAAGGAATAAAAACACTGTAACTCGTCTTCCGCCGATTTTAAGAAACCAAATGCCTTCGTCTGGAAGATATCGAAAAGTTTATGAAGGTGAGAAGCAAGCTTTGAAGAGAATATACGTGTACCGTAATGGCGATAGCAGGACACCACCTAGGATGATCCTACTGAAGAAACGAAACCTCGCGGACATGGAACTTGTACTGTCGGCGCTTCAAGAGAGCAGAATAAACTTTGATTTTGCAATTTCAAAACTGTTTACTTTAAAAGGTAAACAGATTCATAGCTGTGATGAGATTTTGCATGACGGAAGATATGTGGCGACGCAAAGGGGTAGTCGCTTCAAACCTATAAACTACGAAGGGATCTCGAACTTCAGTCCTCGAAGTGTAGTGAATATAACTCGTTTTACAAAATTGCCGCCCATCGCAAGTCGAATTAATCCTTCAAAAATCAGCAATTCTCCTCGAAAGCCAGCTCCATCACTTCCAAACAATCTTGGTCCATCAAACCAAACTAAACGAACTGACAAAAAACAAGTTGAAAAACGTGAGAAAAAGCGCACACAACCGATGCCTGCGCAAGATTCTATCATAAGTCCATTTGAAGATCAAGATCTAACGCGTGAGAGTTTTTCCCATGTAAGTCTGTCAGTTACCCCGCCACCGCTTGACGAATCGCCGGATTTTACTCTGTCAGAAAACATTGGAAAAGAAAATGAGCCTTCAGCAGAGACTGTCAATAAAAGTGCCTCGCCGGAACTTGCAGTTCCATCTAATCTTGATAACCTCCCCGATGATCAGCAAGAAGATATAGGCCTGCAGTTATACAATGCCAGCGGTATGCAGAGTGAATGGGGAGACATGGTCGTTGACAGTAAAAGCGCTGTCACGGACAAGCCAATCGATGATGTTCCGGCTGAGGAAGTTAACGACGAAGAAGTCACGGAAAATGACGAAGGCTCTCGAGAAAAAACGAAGACTCCCGAACCTGATTTGGACATAGAAGACGAAACAGCAGAAAATGAAGAGAACGGTAGAAGTCAAAGCGTGGAAGAAGTTATTAACATTGAACAGCCAAGCAAACAAGAAAATACGGAAGAAAACCAAAAAGAAGATGAAATAGCTGCAACTGCGAGCAGACTTGTTGAAAGGATTCTACAAGAAGAGGAGAATGAGCAGACTACTGCCATCAACGACGAAATAGAGGAACAACAAAGCAAACATGAAGAACCAGACAACACCGAGAAAGAAGAAATCGCGCAAAGCCCGCAACCTTCTATGGCAAGTAGTCAAGAGGACCTCAATAGTGAAGATGAAGTCCAGTCCTCACAGGAGGACGAACAAACTGATGATGATGATGATGATGAGAAGGATGATGACGAAAATGATAATGATGAAGAAAAAAATGATGACAAAGACAGCAAAAATAACACCACGCAGCCACAGAGCGAAAAGGAAGAAAGCGAAGCAGAAGAACCAGCCACCAAAGAAAACCGAACCAACAAGAAAGTAGAACAAGAAAGATCAGATCCTTCAGCGGTTAAAAAGAACCCAGTTAAGCAAGATCATGCCAAAGGCAGACGAAGAGAAAAGAGAGTTGACAACAAAGCCTAAAGAAAGACTTACGAATACTGAGAACAACATCATGAAGTGCAACCCGACAGAGCTCTTCTAAGCCATCATGGCCGTACATGTATGAATCAAGGCAGTGAAAAGAATATATTATATAAAGTATGACAATAACACAGTATGATCGCTTTATCTACCGAACTATAAGGTAACCATTAATCTAGCAAAGTAGGCTGTTGGTACAGATCAATTTACATTCGTATAACAATGGTCCGCCAGGCAGTAGCGTGGGATGAAGATCAGTGTTTCTCATTTTCGAGCAGATGTCATTTTAAGCTTATCTATTTTTAGTTTTTCATCTCGAATACTTTTGATAAACTACGGAAAAATCAATGTTAATTTGGTTTTATTATCCTATAACTGTTCAGGACAACAAATAGCTTTTGGTGCTTGTTGTCACAAGACGATATTCATAACGTTTTTTTCGTTTCCTATGGTTGAAAAGTAAAGCGTCTAAAGAGGCTCGTTTTCCTATCAGCTTGTTTGGGTGTCCGGCCTACTGTACCCTAGTTGTTAATGGCTTTCAGTCCAATCTCTAGTTGTTAAGGGCACAGGAATCCCAGCATCGAAACAGGCTCCGAAGGGATGTAGCTGTCACAGAATTAGACTACGAACTGAGCTTAGTGCTCCACCAGTAGCAGAATGGTTAGAATGACTTATTTTTAATAGTAAGCAAGTAGAAAGATGCGACTTTTTAACACACTAGTCAATCGAGAATCAAGTTAATGAACAGTCTACTATAAACAAGCTTAAGTTTATACTATAAAACAGTGCATAACATTAATAATTCGATACGCATTTCATAAAAATCACAAAAAAATATTTAACCCATTACGTCTTTTAAAATAAGCATAAAATGATTTATATGAAAAACTATACGTTATCAAAACATATATCACAGAGGGGGTGGGATAGGATGACAAGTATTGGGTTGGGTTTTAATGGGGCAGTCTGGGTTGGAGAAGACTGATATGTTGAGCTGGAATACATTAACTGCTATATTGTAGATAATTTTAACTTCGCGACGCCTTCCCATAACTGTCACATACAGAACAACCATTCTATTTACCACTGTCATGAGATGATTCTGTAGTTAATGATTTTATTAAAATGTAAATAGTCAATCAAATTTATTATCAATTCATACACAGCCGATATATATATTTACGTTAAGGCAGTTATTTTGTCAAATAAAGGACTCGATATTACATGAAACATCGGTTTAGAAGTTTGATTTATCAAATGGATCGTCCCTCTTAGCCTCGCCCCAGGCTACAATCCTCTCAAGCATGACGTCACATGCAATAAATGACCCAGTCTTCCACATCTCGAAGCGCCCGCCATAGCGTAGAGACGAGATATAGGTCCGTCTAATATAGTATATTACGTTGAACCTCAATGATAGTTTTTATATACTGCTAAAAATGAACGGACATGTTGAAACGCGCGCCCGTGCTTACCTCGTTCCCAGGAGCTCCCTGCTCGCTCCATTTTCAAACTGGCGCCTTTAGAGTATAAAATGCTTGATATCAACTTGATATTTCATATAACAAAGCTCAGCCTTTTTCCCTAAAAACGGAAGACTTCTACAGTATGAATATATTGAAACGACAATATTCTCTGTTTACTGATATACAGAATCGGATAAGAATGCTAATATAAGAACTAGACTAGTATAATTCTTCATATCATACATATCATCATCGAATATGATTCCTGTTATCACGACCCATTTTAGTTCTTTTTTGATCTAATTGTTCATGCTAAAGCACTTAATATAGACGTGATAAGCTGTTTTGATTAATTAAATACTTCTAAGTTGATCCCATGATGGCTCAAACTCGTCTTTTTAATTAAAATTGGTATTGACGATAAAACAAATATTTGATATCAAGCAAGTCTGGGTTTATTAGTAAAATTCAATTAGGTTTAAACAGATTCTGGTAAATCTGAAAAAATCTATTTTTATACTTAAACCACATTTGAATAGGTCGGCGGAAACTTCAAGGCGAGTAAAGTCCCGCAAAGGCGTTTGCGTTCAAAACTACTTGAAAACGAATCTTTTCAAACAAAATTTGCGGTTTTTGTTTGTTTCTTCTGGAATCTAATGTTTTTTGCCGTATGAGAATAGGTTTTCAATAATATTCGAGCAATTTTGTCTTCGTTAAACATTATAAAGTATAAGCGTTGTCTGTGGTCTTATATATCATGCAAAAATAAATGACGATCAAAACGGCTTTCCTCAGTGGCCGATTGAGCGCTAAACACTATGTAAGCAAACACAAATGTGGTATTTTTCTCACTAAGATCACTAAATTACCAGCCAATAAAGAACTACAAGATTCAAGTTATCCAATAATATCAAATCCATACACTAAAAAATTACGGTTTAAGTTCTATGGTAACAGAGATACTGGTCAGACAACAATGTTTTGCGGAAGAATGCACGCACCACATTTTGCGATAAGAAATAAGAAATATCTATTGTCGTAAAGCCTCTTTCAGAAATATTCTATACTTTTGAAAGAAAAACAGGGAAAACCTGAATCTCATAAGACAGGAATACAATTTTGGAAAAGTAAGTTATATAACAGGACATTCACACGGTACGTCCAACAAATTAAACTCGTTTTAGAAACTTTAGCTGTATAAGAACAGATTTGTTTGTCACTCAAAATTATCTATTTTTTTTCTACTGGAATACAGGAATCATGAAGGACATCAACTTCAGAACAAGCAATAACTCTTTCTGCAAAATGTACCATGAAAGCAAACGAGAGGCGATAAGTAGGGATAACTTCTCCAGAAACTCACAACGGAAACATTTCGTATGTACTGATAGAAAGGACTGGGTTGAATACCAGAACGCGGTTAACAAAATGGAGTCAAGAAAAAACAGTAACATGAAGAGATACGAGAGCGAGATCAAGGACTGCAAGTTTATTCGTAAACAGTTTGAACTTCAGAAGCAAGGTACTGTTGAATACTTTAATATTCATTTACTTGGGAAATTAACGCTAGAAAAGCGAGCGCAGTTATCTAAGAAAGCTGCCGTCTCGTGATCATATACATTACTAGTAGCACCCCCTTCCTCCCCCCTCCCCCTCCCCCTCTCCAGGCCCACCAAAAAGACTATTTTAATACTATACAAATTAGGGTCTGCGTCAAAGGTTATTAGTGCCTCTATAATCACCATCATCATCATTTAGCATCATAACCTTGAACGCACCGTCTCAAGCGACAGACCACAGGAAAAATCACATATCAAGACCGATAAGTATTGGATAAGTATCAATCTATTTATCTTCAGGGTTAATACCTTATGGAAGACTGATAACAGGAGATCAGCACACAATTAAGTCATCAACAGGTGTGGTACAGGAGAAGGCATTAAAAAGTGTGCGTCGCGCACTCGCTCCACGCACGTCTTACGAGGCATCCACGAGGCCTGTTTTAAACTATGAACTCATCTCAAAGCCACCGTCAGTACCTTATAGAATCAAAATCGAGCTTACAAAACGCGAGCAGAGAAGACTCCAAGAGGTAAAAAATTGTGATTCTTTCTTTGGTTGAATATATTAATACCCGGGGGGCGGTACTCCCCTATATTCGCTATACGGGGACGTGCCGCCAACCAGGGTATCGTTTTCAGCGATTTTACTCTGGAACAGGGTATCGATTTCAACGAATTTTCTCTGGAACAGGGTCAGGGTTTTCTCTGGAACAGGATATCGGTTTCAGCGATTTTACTCTGGAACAGGGTATCGATTTCAACGAATTTTCTCTGGAACAGGGTCAGGGTTTAATTCCGAAATTATTGATACTGGATAAAAATCCACGGGGTAAAAATTCGGTCTACACGCAGACTAGTGCTGGATTTTACTCTGGAACAGGGTATCGTTTTCAGCGATTTTACTCTGGAACAGGGTCAGGGTTTTGATGTCCCAGCGGCACAACCCCACCCAAGTTTGGGGGGAGTACCCCTCCCCCCCCCCGGGTATTAATATCCTTGACTAATTCGCTAATCAATGAATAACTTCGCCTTTGTAGTATGAATCCCCCCCCTTCTTTACCTATTAATAACGTTACGGAAACCCATCGCGTTAAATTCATTACGCTAGTATAAAGGAGTACGTAAATCTCTTTGCATAGAAAGGAGAGTTGAACCATCGTCTTATGATCCCCTCCTTTACCTTAAAAAACGTTGCGGAAATCCATCGCGTTAAACACATTACGTAAATGTCTTTGAATAGGAAGAAGAGCTGAACCACGTAGAGGAAAGAAAACCCGAGATCAGTAAAAGCATTTACCTTGACGACGCTGTGGCTATGTACGCAAAATTACGCAACGAAGTAAACAAAGAAATGGGTCAACGGTAAGCGGCTTACGTAAATTTGATTGTGAATATTGTTACCCGGTTGGATACTACTGAAACATGGAGAATGTGCTACGGAATGTATTGCGAATTTTGATAGGGAAAGTAGCAATATTTAGTAAACAGTCTTACGGAAACGTTACGAACCGCAACTCGTTACGAAAAAAGTACGAGTTCAAGAGTCCACTGAAATATTTCGGCGATATTTTTCAAAATCAGTCACAAACTTGAACCAATTCAGCATTAATTATGATTTATATTCATATATGCATAGAGTAGCAATTTTTACAGCCTTTTGCAAAAATTATGAGAATTGTCTAAATATCTAAATATCATAATATCCATATCCATATATTGTCCGGAACACGCGGGTTTGCTAGAATAATTCATTGTTGACATCGAGAAAATGTTCAGAACTACGGATAAGTCCGTCGCCAAAAAAAAAATAAACTACAAAGACAAGGGACTAAGGGCATCGCGCAGGATCATGCACTTGATATTATGATATTTATATATTTCAACAATTCTCATAATTTTTGCAAAAGGCTGTATACGAGAGAATTTTAAAATAAAATAAAATAATTTCGGAAGCATCTCAGTTGCCGCAAAAACCTTTTGCCATGAATGTGCCTAATCGTTTAAATCAGTTCTCTAATCATCTCAAAACAAAGAAATATAATTCTAATAAACTTTCTTAAGAATTATAAATAAAACGCTTGCACGTGATTCAAGACATACCTTTGTAAGAATTCACAACACTTGCATCGCATGGGAAATGAAGCCAAAATACACAATATTCTTTGCCAGAATTGATACCCTTGCACCCAGGAAAGTTGTGCTTATTTGGAATTCCTCAGACTTCTTTCTTTGATCTCCAAATAAACGAAAACTCGACCACAACGGCAACGGTTTGCATGTTCACTTAGTAAATTTACATAAAATGGCTCCGCTATTAGCCAATCAGAAACAGAGATTTGATTATGATGAGCATTTGACATAGCACTACAATGGCTTCATAAGGACATGCGCAAATGAATAAATAGATGGAAGAACGAATAAATGAATGAAAAAATATATTGACAATTGTTTTAAATAGCCTCCTCCCGGGCAACTATATTTTCTTTCTTGGGCTTCCTTTGTAACAGTCAACTTGACCGCTAGGGACTAGTGACAAGGAAATTCTTTCCCATTCTCCCTCTTCTGACAGGAACCCCGTGAATTTTAGCGATGCTTGTAGAGCAGGCTATGTCCTAATAAGCTTACTGGTATATTTTCTTTAACAGGTCTTACACATCTTTACCAAACAAGCGAAGCAACGCTTACTGGGACACCAGGCCTGTATCTGTACCGAGTAAAGTACCCGCAATATGGAATGGGCGTAACATCCCAGACTCAAGTGAATTTGCGCGGGTCACCTTGGCTCCTGGGGGTCACAGTGAACTCGAGCCTACATTGCTCCCCAGTGATGATCCTTCTCGCGCTATTAAGTTATTGAGGAATCAAACTAAAGCAGCAGAGGGTACAAAAACTGAGGAGAGCGCACACGCAGAATCAATTCGTGAAAGAAATAATAATTTGAGCAAGACAAATTTACCAGCGGTTCATGCAAAACGTGCTTCTTTGGACGCTACTCATGAAACCACGCCCTCCAATGAGATCTATTCTAATACAACGACGCCAAGGACAGCAGGACGAAGATCAATTGCATTCGCGCTTCCCGAGGTTAGAAAAGACGTCGATATCACTGCAACTCAGCAAAGTGACATCGAAAAACGTCCTACTTCAGTAGATATGCAGCCGGCGAGTAGTCGCACTCTTTCGTCTCCCGAGCTTCAAAGCGGAGCTCCTAGATCTTCAACTTTACCAGAACTTAAAACGTCAAGAAGAAATTCTGTAACAAAGCGCGTATTGCATGAAAATAACGAAGAAAATGAACAAACACAAGTCAAAATTGAACGAAAATCTTCCATTGGTGCAGTGACACGCTCTAGACGCTCAGTGTCAACAGGAGATCAATTAAGCACCGATAAGCTTCAAAAACTTATATCGGAAAAAATTATCGGGCAAATTACAAATGCGCAAAGAAGACACAGTATTTCGTCCAACCAGAAGACTTCGATTCTCAAAAGCTACGCGCGCATGCTTCAAAGTGAATTACAGCTGGACGAGGTCCCAGAAAGTGATTCTCCAGATTTCAGTGAAACTCCGTTTATGCGCAATACAACGAAGCCTAACCAAGAAGCCGAGGCTGCCGAGGGAGAGGAACCCAGCAAAGGTTCAAATTTGTGGGCAAAGTATTTACATTACGAAAGTTTTAGGTCATCTTTGACGTATTCAGAAATCGAAGAAGAGGATGTGGTGGGAGTTAAAGCGCGCAGGCGTCTAAGCGCAACGTTTTTCGATAGTGCTGGAGTAATTACGCGGAAGGCGAAAGCGTCTAAGCTTAAATTGAAGAAGAGTGAGAACTGGGTTCATGAAGAAAAGGAAGAACAAGAAGAACAAGAAGAAAAAAATGACAAAGGTTAATGACATGTTAATCTTCTTAACTTAAAAAAGCAAAGAAGAGAAAACAACAAAAGTAAAAACATAAACAAAAACTTAAAGGAATGCTGTACTTGAAAATTATCAAAATTATCAAAATGATTCTACTTTACGAGTTGCCTATTCAAGATGTAAACAAGATGCCAAGGGAAGATTTTGACGAAAAGAAACTGTTCTCTCTCTCTTTCTGAAATGAACAATTTGGATACCGTATTTATATTGATGGTGAAATACCCGCAGCACTTGCCGGCCTTCCTTTCTCCCTCAACTCGATAAGGACTCGACTATGCATCGTACTGTATCGATTTGTTTTAAGAGACAGCAAGTATCAAAACACATGGCAAACAGCACGATGCTTAGCCGAGTCCTTCACATGTTTTGTTCAGATACATAGCCGAGTGCTTAGAAAATGTAATTTAGTCAATGAATGAAGGGTTTATATCTTTTCTTTATTCTTTTCACAAGTCTGACCCTTTTATACGCGCGATTTCACAGTGGATACAATCATAGAATGTATAAAACATGTAAAAAATAGAAGATATCAATATAATCATATATACATAACCCAGACGAATCTGTTTATAAAACGACACTTCTTTCATGTCTAAAAAAGTTAAATATATATCATATTTGAGGTGTTTGGTCCATCGTTCGAGTCTAGATTCTTAGGGTAAGAAAAGCTGCGTGGTTCAGACCGTCTCCTATCGGTGTTAATGCTTCTTATTGAGGCTGTTGGAGTCGTGTTACGGATCAAATGACGAGGCGGAGCCGAGTTCTTCTCGACAACGACTGGTCTTGCCCAGCAGAACTTTCCACTGGTTTTAAACAAGTACATTATAAGGACAGTAGCCACTAGGATAGCAAGTAAACTGAATATAATAAGCCATTTTACAAACGTCGACAACTCTCCCGAGTCCTCTTCTGCATGAGTATCATTTTTAATGGGAATATGAGGAGGAACACAATGTCTGTCCTTTTCACTAACTTCATCCTCCTCGTTGCACAGTTGAACACATTGCCCACTTCCGCAGTGGCAATATTGAGTACAATTCCAGCACGAGGCCGAGAACCTTGAAGCACAACCTTTCTTGCAGTTCTTTTCGCACACTTTACGTTCAAACGGAGTGATTTGAGGCTTGGGGCGTTCGCAAGTCCCGTACATCCTCAGCGTCCAGCGTTTAAATTTACCTCGCTTATCAAAGTTAGCATTGTCAGTGACTTTAAGGGTCCAAATTCCGCGCGGGTTTTCCCCCCACGAGAACACAGTCATGAATGGCCAGTTAACAAAACCGTCGCCTGAGAAATCACGATCACGTGGTTTGAGCAATTCGTGCGTTATCCCGGATGGAGACGTTAAATTAATACTCAGGTCTCCTCGTCTTGGGTGTTCAATAGTGATGTACACGCGCACATGCTCTAACCGTGTTATACAATTTTCTTTCTTGGAGCAGCCATCAGTGAATAAGGTCGCAGTGAAGGTTCCCTTCTTTGGTATTACATGTTCAGTGTTCCCACCGAGTTCCTTACAGATATGCTGATCGTCTGCGGTTTCCCATCGCCGATCCATAGCTGCATCGACTAAAGCGGCAGTATCAAGAACACCAAAGCCATACTTATTGTTAAAATGATGTCCTGCACCGTTTACTCTCCACTCTGGGTCCCTGGGGTCAGTCTTCTTGGACGTGTTCACGATCAAGTGTTGAAGATCTCGCCAGGTCAGTTTGGGGTTGGCTTCAAGCACCAGAGCGAATATCCCTGAAGAATATGGAGACGAGTGTTATAACCACAACGTTGCTAGGTTACCACTGGGTTATGTATATATGTAATGTATAAATGATATCATCGGACTATTATTAAGCTACCGCTGGTCTGTATAGTATATACAATACTATGTCGTTTGAAGCATGGCCCGAACTGAAAGCATTGTTACTAAGAGATAATAGCTATTATGGAAGAAAGAAGAGAGAAGCCTTTCTCTTAGCAACGTAACGCGACGCCACTTTGTAGAACAAAGCATGATGGGAAATATAGTGTTTGCGCATTTTAAGGGTTATTTAAGGGCGAGGACCAGCAGTTCACATCATGCTTTTTAAAAAGAATACTGCCACTAGACAATCACGATTAGAAATGCAATTTTGCTACAAAAAAAGTAGTTACGTGACAACGCACAGCGTCAAGTCAGGTCTCAACGGATCAATCAAACCACAACACAAATATACAAAACTGAAGTTATTTATTAAGTGTTCTCTTATTCACAAATTCTGTCAATCACAGATTGATATTAATGTCAGATTATTTTAAATTCTACTTGGTGGATAATAATAGAAAATGTCTGTATTTACACAACAAATTACTGCACAATGGCGTACAGTTTGTTCATGGATAAAAAAATAGCAGACTAATAAATTAATGGTTGCTAATTGGTAACGAGCGCTACGTTACATTACGTGACGTTACACGTCACGTCAGTGCCAGCATTAAAGGGTTTAAGGTATTCAATGATAGCGCAGCCATTTTTAATAGTAACCGGAAGAAAAGTAGTTTATTCAACACGAGAATTGACTTGGATCATAATATGGTCTCTAAAAAAGACTTCTTCATGTTTGAATACAACCTGCCAATTGATTGTTTTCAATCATTCCCACGACATTCAAAAGATAAAAGACCAGCGGCCATGTTGGATGAATGAACAGTAGATACTAATGAAAAATCCTTTGTTGAAGTTCCTCCAAGATGGCCGCTGTGACGCAGCTTGAAAACGAAGAATTAAAGAGTGCGGCAAACAAAATATGAGGCTACAATGTAGGTGCTAAGGAGAAGCGAATTCCTGGTCCTGTGACAATTCCTATGAAATGTTTTAATTGGTTACATAAACTTAAGTGGTTTGAAATGGGAAAACAAATCTAAGCTGAAAGAGTTTGCTGAATGAGTTGCAAAGGTTAATATTGAAAATGGCTGTACTGTTCGCAAATATCGACAGTTACAAATTATGAATCATCAGAACCCTACCCTACACCGATTCCTTCTATTCACAATCCCTGAATAATTCGCTTAACAATCAAAATTGACTGTTTAAGATTTAGAAAAATACGTATTTGAATGAGTTCCTGAATCAACGTCGTACTTCACGGTTGTCGAATGTAATAACGCCCGATGAGGTGACGGACGTAATACCGATAAATTATCGATTGCATTCGGTTCATTCGACGCATGTTGATTCGACGTCAAAACTAGGTATGAATACAAAAAGAACATGCGACGGATGAAGGAAGACAACTCGCGTAACCAGACACTGAGAAAATGAATTCCAGCTTTTTGAGCAAGTACAAACCTCGATAAAACGGACAGGTCAAGCTCTTTTCGCTTACAAACACATGACATTTCAAACTGTTAGAGGTGGAAACGAGTATCATAAGTCGACCGGTGTCCGTATACGCGAGTTGCCCATTATCGTGAGGCTCTGAACTATGAATTGAATTCTTGGTTTTGAAATATTAAAAATTTATCAAAAATTATTTATATAAGAAAGCTTTTCTCAAAACTGTGCTCGGACAATTTGATATTCTAAATATTAACAATTGTAGGTCAGTAATAGTAAAAAATACACAATGCAAAATTCCCAGAGAATTGTCTATCAGACTAACAGTATTTACAGTGTTATGAAATAGGAGATTCTAGTACTATGACTTTACGGTGTTATGTACCGGACTATGCGGTGTTTTCTACAAGAACCTGTTGTTCTGGTGGTAGTAATTGAACTGGAGTCTCACTAGGATCGTTATTCAGTGACACTGGGGCATAACTGACGTTCCTTTGCGGTGAGGTATGGGTAATAGAGGGTCTCGCCCAACATAACTGGTGCTTGGCCTTAAACATGTACATGATTAAAACACCGGCTAGAAGAAGCCCGAGTAAGCTGAAAATGATCAGCCACATGTAGGTATTGGATATCTCACGTGATTCATTGTTCTGGTCATGTGATTTGTAATAAAGGACATCTGGTGTGAAACAGCGTTGTTGTTTGGCATCAATCTTGTCCTCGTGACCGCATGCTTTTACACACTGCCCAGTGCGACAGTTGCAAAATTTAGCCTTAGGGCAAGGATTTTTGCACTTTGCTTTACAGAACCTCTTCTCCGTCTCGGTGAATGTGTTTGGAGGAAGGCAGTGCTTCGAACCTTCGTCAATTTCGTCTTCCTCGTCGCAGTTTCGAACGCATTCCCCAGTGGAACACTGGCAGTACTGTGAACAGTTCTTACAAGACGAAGCAAACTCCAAGGGACATCCCTTCTTGCAGACATCCTTACAAGTCTTCTTCTCTGCCACGGTAACATTAGGACTGGGTTCTATACACGTACCGTAAAACCTAAGGGACCATCTTTCTAGGGTGCCTCCAATGCCTGCGTGGTCTTGAACCTCTAGGGTCCATTTCCCCTGCGGATTCTCGCCCCATGCGAAAACGGTCATAAACGGCCAGTTGTGGAAACCTTTATCTGAAAAGTCTTTGGATCTCTGTTTGAGCAGGTCAGACTTAGTGCCCGATGGGGATGTCAAGGTGATTGTCAGGGAACCACGCCGTCTGTGACTAATCGTGACGTAAACACGCACGTGTTCTAATGACGTCACACAGTTAGACTTGGTTGCGCAGCCATTAGATTTTAATTTCAAGGTCAACGACCTTTTTTTAGGAATGGGGTGGTTAACAATGCTACCAAGCTCTTTACAAATGTGCTGGTCACCAGCGGTTTTCCAGTTCGTATCCATGGCTGCGTCCACCAGACCAGCTGTGTCCAGAACACCAAAACCAAATTTGTTATTAACATGGTAGCCAGCACCGTTGACTTGCCATTCAGAGTCGTTGGGGTCAGTCTTCTTGGACGTGTTCACAATCAAGTGTTGAAGATCTCGCCAGGACAGTTTGGGGTTAGCTTCAAGCACCAGAGCGAATATTCCTACAGAATATTTTAAGCCTTCAGCCTAGACAACACTTGTTACAAGTGCCTTGTGCATTGTGATACCGGTTTAATCACAGTGTACACGATGTGTTTAACATGATATGTCTCAAGTATTATTCGATAATGATGGTGCTAAATGATACACACCTGTACTTGACAAACTTGTTGCTGTTGTTGTTTTTGTTGTGAGTGTTATTGTTGTTAATGCTATTTTTCTTTGTGTCGCTATCGCTCAAATATCATTCAGTTAGGCACGAAGCACCTAATAAATTGTACCTGATAAATGTGTTATTGATGTTGTTGTTGTAGTAGCTGTATTGACATTGCTCAAATATCATTTGATAGCACAAACTGTACATGACAACTTTGCTGTTGTTGCTGCTGTATGTTGTTGTTACCGTTATTGACGGGTTGTTGTTGTATTGTTGCTGTTATTGTGGTTGCTGTTGTTGTTATTACCGTTCGTGTTTTGACATTGTTGCAGTTATTGATATAGTTGTTGTTGTTGGATGTGTTGCTGTCACGCAGTTTGTTTTAATCTTTATCACAACTATTGCAATCTTCCTGTTTTATTTTTTGATATTTTTTTAGTTTAGTATGATTGTACTTGTCATTGTTCTAGCTTGTAGCGATTAATGCATGTGTTATTCTAGCTGGTGGTGGTAGAGTGCAGACACTAAAACCATGAAAAACTTTAGTAACTAAATAGTGCTCTATTGTACTGGACTATACGAGTTCCCTTTGTTTTCTATGGTCTAATCTACACTCTATTGCACTCTGTTCTTAATTTAGTTATCCAACTTCACACTTTTAGTGCACACACTCTAGTGCAACACCTTACTAGTTCAAAGTGCAGAATTATCCAACCTACTAGCAGTGTATCTCTTATTTACACAAGCAAGCTTCCCTAATGTTTCTCCATTAGAATCATTCCATTTAACGGATTAAAATAATGATATACGAAAGAGAAATATATGAAGAAAAAGTTCAAGCACTGCCAAAGTTACAAATTTCACTTTATGAGTCAAGAAATTCTTGGGAACAAGGAAACTTTTCCTTGTCATTCAATGGGCAAATGTAGTTTGTTGTATGAAAGGTGAATAACTATCTTTTGAAAGATAACTGCACTTTATTCTTTGTAAAACCTGACCCTTTTTGCTAAAGATGAAAAAATATTTTATGAAATAAGTAAAAAGAAAACTTGCTTGTGTAAATGTACAATTTAACTTACAAACAGCACAACAATCTACTTACCAGCTGCCAATGGTGCAGCTGCAGATGTCCCAGTGTGCTCCTTGGTGCATCCTTTTTCCAAATCAGTTGTTACAATCTTAAGGTCAGGTCCCCTTGGTTCACCACTACTGTATGTGACAGCCAAGGTAGCAGGACATGGCTCGGCATACCATGGTGACTTTCCCCGGTCATTAACGGCACCAATTGAGATGGTAAATATACTTGTGATATAACCATCGCAACTACAGTAGTCGTTAAACCTTCCTCCATTACCAGTGGCCCAAACAAAAATAGATCCAAGACCTTTACGGCCTTTGCGTATACCTGCAAAAAAATGAGTTTAAATAGAGTTTTCTGCAGTWATATTTTGCACAGGCTAAGCTTTGAAGAAGTCTAATGTATTCTCTGCAGTTATATTTTGCCCAAGCTAAGCTTTGAAGATGTCTAATGTATTCTTTTTTATTCATCAATGACATATTGTGATAGCATTTTTCAGTAGCATGTTGCAAAGCAAAATGCAGATGCAAGAAATTACAACAATAAGGAAGACATTTTCAGTGGGCTTTGCTTAACACCATGTCTACCTGGACACATGCCATTATTATTGTTGGAAATTATCACTGTAACAGCATAGCACCTTTTGGCTGAAAAATGTAGTGTCACAGGTATCATGTAAGCCTATTAGATATTGTCTTCTAATTATCAAAAAATAATAATCAACACCAAAACCTTACCATCTCTGAAAGCTTTCTTGGCCAGATTTCCTGGACCATCAACTGTTCTACCATCGTCATCAGGACCCCAGCTGCTGCTGTATATATCAATGAAGTTACTTTTAAGTGACAGAGAACTACCTTCGACGGAATCAGTAACATCACCATCAAGCATCCGTACTCCTCCTATACGAGCATTATATGCCACACCTACTCCACATTTGCCGTTATCTTTCTTGCCTGCGACTTCACCAGCACACCTGGAATTGATAGCAGTAACTTTGATTACAAAGTCAAAATTATTTGATTTACTATACAATTGTGAGATTTATTCTAAAAACTCTCATTCAGAGAAATCCCCCTGTAAATCTCTCCGAAGTGTTAAAAGAGAAAAATGATTTGTCTATACAACAGGCTGAATTTGAACCCATTGAAACAAAAAAAATTCAGTCTCATGGTCATACCACTTATAATGGTAAAATGCACTATAGTCAACTCCCACCATACAGCCAGTGATGTTATCGTGGACACAGTTGCAAGAACTTGTATAATTCACTATTTCAACAAAATCCATTGCTTCACAGAAAAAAATGACTCTCTTTACAGTAGCTACATGTACTCACTGTTGCAATAAATAATTATAGTTCCCTACAATCTTTTGCAATATAAACGGGTCACTTGCGATCCCTTTCCCTGGTTCACTGTTGTTAGAATGATGTCTTCGCGTATTGCCAGGAAATCAAGTCTTTTGTGGTCGGCAATCAACATTGCCAAGGAGTAAGGGGTATAGGAGCTAACCATTGTAGGTATTGCATTTGTTTTTGCCAGAGAATGTAGGTATGAATCGAGTTTAATAGATTTTAGTCTTACCTTGTGCCGTGTTTATTGACTTTATCAGAAGTATATCGTGGCATAGGATCACTATCACGACTATTGAAGTCCCAGCTTGCGGATGCTTCATAATTATCGTTTAAATCAGGGTGAGTATACTCTATTCCGTCGTCGAGTATTGTTACCACTACATTCTTGCCTGAAATGTTCTTTTTCCAGACAGGCAAAACATTTATGTCTAATCCTTTAGGACCAGGTGACTGACCTAGAAAGAAATGGATATAATGTTCAAGTTGCTGGCGTATACACTGTGTATATTTTAGACTCTTTCATGTGACAGGAAAGCTGATTTATAGTATTGAGAAAGAATACAGCAACTGTATATTCAATTGAGAAGGAGTTCTGGTTTTATCTAATATCCTAAACTAATCAGTAGACACAGTTTTTACATTGAGGAAGATTGTATATTCTTTGGAGAAAGAATCATTTGACAAACCAAATAAAGTAAAGTTCAAATCATGACTTTTTTGAAGGATAAAAGTACTAATGCTTGCTTTACAAGTAAAGAATTCTTCATTAAGACACAGCTGTGCAAAAGGATAAATTTAACACCGTAAAAAATTTGTCCTTCGTTGGTGTTAAATTTATCTTTTTACACAACTGTTAATTTAGAAACACAGATGCAGCTCACACTCATTTACCGCTAGTTGCCATCATTCATTAAGACACACATTTTACATGATTTCAATATTTCCTTGAAAGAGAAGTTAATTCAAGCTAAAATTATCCTGACATTCCATCACATTTTATTTTTCAAGTTCTTAGACTTTAGCCAAGGATATATAGACATTCAAATTATAAAAACATTAAACCAACCAAAACTTTAGTTCATGAAAATTTTACAGAGTTCCCAAGGATATTAGTGTAGATTTTGTTTTGTAATAGTGATAAGAATGGACACCTAACAACCTTAGGCTAGAGAATGACATCATGGCTTCAATATGGTGCTAAATGATATCTCATCAATGACCACAGATGCAAAGTAATTAAGCTGAGAGTATTGTCAATTTTGTGTTAGGATTAAAATCCATATCACTCTACCAGCTACAGCAAAGCTGTTTACCTTATGGTCGGATTAAAACAAAATACTAGTCCACTGTGAATTAGACTCTTGCAATAACATAAATGTACTAAATCCATAACAAAACAAGTACAATATTGCCTATTGTAATTGGCTCTATTACATGTACAACATCCATAAAACAGCATTCCCTTAGCATAAATGCTTAAATCAATAGGCAGTATGACATTTTTTTTGAGAAATTTTAACTTTTATCATAGCTAAAGATAAAAACTTTAATGAAATAAGCTGAAAAGACTTTAAAGGAATTTTTTTAAAGTACTGTTATTATCATTATTAACCAAGGGAGATAAGGAAAATGCTGGATTCTTAAAAGAAGTACATGACATGTTTCCGTTTTGCTAAGTGAATGTGGTTTTATCAAACTAATTATTTCTAATTGTTAGTTGATCATGATCACTTATTAACAGAATGACTCCCAAGACTACTGACTACAATGTAATCATTTTATCTATTGTTGTCAAGTTTTGCATACCTTTGTATAAAATTAAACTAAAAAGTATATTTTTAAGGAACTCATGGCAAACTATGTTTACATCCTGCATAAATTAACAACCTTGAACAATTTTTTGTGTACTGCATTGTCTACAGTTGTGTATATCAACCCGAACAAGTAGGGAAAGAAAATAACACACTATTTTCATTTATCAAGTTTTTTTTTATTCAGAGCCTTACACTTTAATCAATTCAAAGCATAAATAAAAAATAGCTTGAGGACTAAATAAAATTTGAAAATTTAGTCTTTAGAGCTTCTAAAAAAAAAACTTTTTCTTTATAAAAGAGAATCAAAAATCTCCTAATCTTCATAAAAGACCTTGTTTTTTACTTTGCAAGTCTTTGAATTACAAGACAGTATAGCTGTCAGCATGCAAATACCAATAAAAAAATTAACAAAACAATACTAGCTCCCTTCTTTTGTTTGGTTAATTAGTACTAATTTTACTTGAAAATGTTTTAAAGAATCATCCATTTAAGTTGTTATTTTAACAATTACAACTGCCAATAAAACTCAGAGTTATTACAAGAATGTATTATTTAAATCGTGATGGAACTTTGGGATAGGAAATAGACCAACAAATTCCACACATTGTACAATTTCCACATGTAAACATCGCAGTATTATCTCTCTATCAGTTGTACATTATCTATCTACCAGCTGCTTCAGGGGAGCACATGCTGTTTTGATTTTAAGGTGTCCCTAGTGCTAATTCACACTGATACAAGTGCTAGTACAATTTCCCAAAGCATCAGATGAGAGCTGCATAATCTTCTTCAACCACATGGCTCATAACATAGTTCAGATGTAATACAAAGCTTATCAGCCAAGGTTGCTTTGGTTCTGTGTACCTGACACATGTCATTATCCTATGAACATATCACTGACAAGTGATTTTTTTACCAAGCTTTAAACACAGAGTGAAGGATCATCCTACATTATTGCACTTTTCATGAGATTCACAAGAGGGTTTTAGGATTGTTGTTTACTCAACTAAAAGCCTGGATTAACATTTTCCTCAATTTCGTGTGTTTCCTGAAACCTTGTGATAAACCGGCTCTTCAAAGAACTGATAAATAGAATCACGAAAAGACATTTAGCAGGCTTATCACGGGAACTTACTTGAAATAAGACACCCCTAAAGACACCAAGGCAATCACAGCACTTAAAAGTCTGGCATTTTATAGACTCTATTTTCTAGTTTACATTGTCCAAAAATAAACGAAAATAGCTTAACCAATATAACAGGTTCTTGAAAATTCTCTCTAGTTGATCAGGCAGTTAATTTACAAAGGAATTTGTGAATGCATTTCAATTATTCAAAGTCGAAGGGCTTCAGAGTTCTTTCTAAGGCCTAGATTACAATTATGAGTCAATTTATTATGAAATGTAAACACAATTTGTAAGGCATGGACGCCAAAATGCTAACCATCTCTAATAAATTGAAAGAGACACAAAGAAAATGATCTAGGCTCCACAGCAAAGGTGATCGGACGGTTCAAAGAAGTCAATTCCATTTAGCTTGCTGATTGCAAACACTTGATCTGCGGACGTAGAATGTATTGGATTTCAACCCCAAAATAGCGAGTTCCTTTAACCTTATATTAAGTGAGAAAAGCAAAAAACCATTGTACAAGTGTATTATGTTGTTGGATTTAAAAAAAAAATCAACATCTGGACGAAAAAACAGCGTAGTATAGAAGCTTTTTATGCCAATCAAATCTTGTGGGTTAATTGAAATGTATGACGTTTCAGCGCTTTAACAAATATAAAGCTTGTTTTACTTAATATTAACAAATCTGTCTTACAAACCGCATAGCAATGATCTAAATTATAAACTTGATATCGATCGAACTTTAGCTCTTAATCAGGTGGACAAGCCGAGACGGAGGGACTTTGATATGACTTCGGTACAACGAACCTAACCAAAACAACGCCATTAGGACTGCCAAATTGACATTGAACATCGAATTTAGCCTTCAAATGTCCTCAGTATTTAAGCCGAATCAAGCAATATTTTGGCGATGTCACGTTTAGCTTCTTGTTTACCGTTCGAGTTGTAACTATGGCTGTGACATAAGAAAAGAAACAAGTTTTAATCCGCCTATACAGTACATCGTCGTTGGCTGGAAGAGGCAACGATCGCCAGCTTCGAAACTGCTTTCAACTTGCATGTTTTCGCACATTTAACTTAACTCTGGAAAAAGAAAGCGGTTCACTCACCTGTATTTTGTAGATACCACTGATCTTTGAACATAGGATCGGAAAAATAACCTCGTTTTTGCCGAGAAAGAATTTTTTGTTGTTCTGCATACTTTATATGTGGTAGACTCAAAAACCCTTCCGTATGGTGATCTAAACTGCGTCTTGTCCGCTTGGAAACTCGCTTATGTTCAAGCAAATAATACCCTTCAAGTCCTCCCTGTTGTCCATGGTTTATAAATCCTCTTTCTCTAGCTATTTTATCGACATATTCATTGCCTTTCTCAGTGTAGACCACCCATGTATTAGTATAAAGTCCTTTGGTCAGTCCTTTGACAAAGCTTCGAGGAAAATACTGCACGAAACAGATTAAAACAACCAGACAAACCCCACGAGCCATCCAAGTGAATAAAGATAGAAATCCAATGTAATATGTATCAGCTTTTCATGGTTGAGACGTATTACAACACGGAAAACTAACTTATTCTGGACACAACTTGTGTCTTTCTATTTCCAACATTATCTCSTCTCCTTTTATGCGCAATTTGTTCAGTTACCCACAGTGCAACACGGTCTCCGCTAGTGCCAGACTTCTCCGATCCCCCTAAAAATTATCAAATAATATAAATATCGATAAATATCCTTTCCAAATTAAAAAAAAACAATGTTATCTTATCATTCTTTCACGTAAAGTTCTTTTATCTCAAAGGATGTATAAAATGTACAAAATTCAATAAAYAAAGTGWTTTCTAACATGTTCTAAAAGTGTGCTCGCGTGACGTCACCAGYTTCAGCGTCGAGATGGGAGAGCCGGATAGCAGTCGCTTTACGTCATGCAAGAGGACAGATGTGACTAATTTTAAGTAATTAGACTCGTTTTACAGCTTTTCTTATTCTCTTTCAGCAAGGTAACTTTGGTGGACGAATAAGCTCATCTTTTCCCTAAATGCCCTCACCGTGCCATCACGGAAACTCCCCAATCACGTAGCGAAATCTAATATAGGACTGCTTCAACTTCAGGGGGTAATTCTTTTCGGAATCTATTCGATGTGGGAGCATCATATAATAATATGTATGAAAACAATTCCAAAAAAACTAATATCAGGAAATTACATTTTACGTTTTAACTCCTAGCGATGCACATTGAAGTGGATTAAGATGGAGTAGCACTAATAAACGATACAGGAGTGTTTTCATATTTTCTTCTCTATCAGTATTTCTTGGCTAGARGCCAAGTGTCCTATTCGTTTATCGCTATAAAAGTAATGACAATTGAATCATATCTACCTCCTGGAGATAGAATAAACACTTAGAAACTCACACGTAACCGAGAATTGTTAAGAAACATCTTAGGCATCTTACGTGCATAGTGCAAGTTTGACAACAAAACAGTAATCCCAAAACAACTTAGTGCGCAATGTTTTGCATTTGTGAAACTAGCAAATTTTCCTCTTTTTTTTTTTGCTATTTTTGTTCCTATTTTTTCACGTCTCAGATTTTTCAAATTAGTGTATTGTAAGTTTATTAATTAAATCCTTTAAAATTAAAAAAGTTTATGAGATTTGTCTTATCAGAATGCCTCAGGTAACGCTATTAAAATAGTCCCCGCAGTGATCCTAAACTGAACACGTTCTGGCTGYCGGAACACGTCTGTGGATCGCTGATATTGGAATGAGTGGATTGTAATGTGGAATTAAAAAATGTTTGTATTACAAATAACAACCGTTTTAAAATTTTCCCAGGGTAACCTGGATGGATGAGTGGATCGATGGTTGAATCGATGGGAGTGAATGGATGGATATAGCCAGTAAAAGCACGAGTTGATAAATGAATGGGAGTCAACGAATAAATGGAYGGAATCGCATGGATAATCCAAAATTTTTAAATAGATAAATATGAACCAYCAGTTAAATAAAAAAAGAAAAAAATGAGTTGACTGTGAAGAGATGGACYCYRRCATCCTAAAGAATGCCGCGCGTGTAAAAAAGCTGGTAAAACTAAAACTGCCACTCCAGACATCAGATCCACAATCACCAGGTTACCATTTATCATGCATTAAGTTGTTTACAGCCTGGAAGGCTACTTGGCTTCTTTGTCCTTTCGCAATGCATCGGGCTTTGCAAACATCGATAAAAACGTCACATCTTTAAGGTGTTAAATGATAGTCTGATTAAAATGGCTTGAGACGCTTGATAAGTGCTTTTATCATCCCCTGATATCAGAGGAAACAGCACTTATCACACCAGGACTGCGCAAATAACTTCATCCATCATAAAGGCACAGTACTGGACGTAGACAATCCATGCCGTATACAACTGATAATGGCTTCGTTATTTTTATGACCGTCTTAACTGGATTACAATATGTCAGATTTTCATTTAGATCATTGATAAAATCGTTGAATGTTTTAGTGTCTGGGACGTGGGTTTTATAAAGTTACCTCACTGGATCAGACTTTAAGAAGTATATAATCCACGCAAAGCCTTTTAAAGTTTATAAACCAATGAAATGTATACAGAGGGCTTGTGGGGTAGGTCAATGCGCGATTCTAGGTCCCTTTAGATATCCTCTAGCCGTTTTATCAAACGCCTTTTGGGTAAACCTTTGTTCAATACACCACGCATTGCTCACCGCTGAAGTATTTCAGCTTTTCCCTGGGGCGCGCACTTAATACAGCGACTAGGTTTCTAATTCCAAGGCTATGTGTGGTCATTAAWAGTCGTTGCTCCGAGGAATAGTTTCTACAGATATTCCCTGCGGGTCCCTTCGTGGTTTCCTTTCCGAGAAGTATTGTCAACGCGTTCATGTGGGCGTCAAGTCCTTTGACAGGATGAAAATTTATTTTTAACTTATTTTTTAAATGAAATTTGATGAAATAAATAACTTTTACAAATAAAAGAAAGAATGATAAACACCTTCCAATGAACTAATTTTATTTCTTTAATACAAAATGTTCTGTCCCTAGAAATATTTGATTTGCTTTGAACTATTATCAAACGTAGTAGCCGAATACCACTCCAAATGTTTATGAATATCGACATTTATCAAGTTGATAGAACCGTGGCAAATTACGAGAGGGTGGGGAAGTTCATGTTTCAGTCAAATGATGGTTGTCATGTTGATGGTACTTGAGACTATTGTCCATACCATTAATATCGCCGCAAATCCCATTTTGAATTTTAATCTATACGATATTTTGAAATTTCCGTGTAATACAGAAAACATCTGGCCAAAGAGTGAGATTTTAACATGCGTGTCCATTCAGGGACTACGCAATATTTATCAGGAGGGGGAGGTTGAGAAATGAGACAAAAAATCAAAAAAGTTATTTACTAT